TTCTTGAATATGTGAGTTTTCATAATTTTTTTATTTTATTTTTATTAGGCGTTCGATATTTGATCAGTAGGCAGTGTGGAGTATTGTCTTGCTTTTTGTGGGTTTAGACTTGTTGGTATTTGTCATAGTACTGGACATATTCTTATAGTTCTTGCTTTTGATATCTATCATCATCATCTGTTGTTTATTGTGTTTCAATTAAATCACATTTTGTTGTTACTCTTGTTTCTTTGTTATAGGCTCTACATTACTTTCCTTATTAGTTGCTATTTTTTTTTTGTTTTTTCTTACTTGGATTTGTTGCATTTGAGTCGAGGGTATTTTGAAAACGTCTCTCAATCTCCACGAAATAGTGGTAAGGTTTACATACACTCTACCTTTTCCATACTCCACTTGTGATATTTCACTGAATATATTATTATTATTTTGTTGATGGTGTTTGATATTTATATTGAATTCGATTAATTTAAATTGTCAGTTGCATAAGGTATTTTAAATGTATGTGTCTACTTAGTTCAATAAACTCCTTGCTAAAGTTATTGAATTTTGTCGAACTTGTAACATATATTTTTAAGCCAAATGCATGGTTTAACCTTCTTCTTCTTCTTCTTTTCTATGTTGAAAAAAATAATAATACAGGCATTTGAGATGTGGAGAGATGGTAAAGGCATGGAATTTATGGATGAATCACTTGATGACAAAACATCATATTGCAAATTATTAAATTGCATGCAAATTGCATTGTTATGTGTCCAAAAAAACCCATTGGATAGGCCTACAATGTTGGAAGTTTCTAATATGTTGAAAAATATTGCAAATTTAGTGATTGAGTTCCCTAAGAGGCCTGCATTTTCTGTAAAAGAAGATGAAGAAAGTTTGAAGAAATATGGCTTAGTGCAAGAAAGAGAAGAAGTTGATACTGCAACAATTACACAATTGATTGCAAGATGACTGATGATATCAATCCTACCAAATGTTCAGATGCATTTTAGTGGCTTTAATGGTTCGATTCGATTGGTTATTTTAAAAAAAATATGTATATAGCTTTGTTTTGTGAATTTCTAACTGGTATTCGATATTCATATTGGAGTATGACTAATTCAGATACGTTTATTTCTCCATCTGTTCACTTTTACTTGTCACTTATTCCTAAAATAGATTTTCATTTTTATTTGTCACTTTTGACATATCAAGAAAACACAATTATTATTTTTCATGTTTTGCCCTTAGCATTAAATACTTGTCTTGTTTTCTTTCATTTGATCTTTTCTTTATCCCATTTTCATAAGAAAACTCAATAATCTTTTTCTGAAAGCTTTTTTTTTTCCCTTGACAACTACTAGTATAATTTTTCTTTCCTTCTTGTTTAAAGGCAAAATATATATAAATATATATATATATAAAAAGGCAAAATATTTAGGATTGATTAAGAAAATACTTCTTTAAACAAAAACTTTACAACCACAACAAGAAAAATGTAGCAATTAAGGCCCAAAAAAAGTTGAACTGGACTTGGTGGGGTGTGCCAGGCCCATGCAATGTTGAGGGTAAAACATAGAAAAAAAGTAGAACAATTCACATATAGCAAACATAAAAATTATATTTGTATGTTATAACTATAGTTTGCATAATTGCGCTTCATAGCAAACATAAATATGTATATTTCACTATACATATACAAAAGAAAGCAGTTGTATAATCTGTTTTTGTTTTGGTAGACATATACACAAATCAATTGTATAATATGTATTTGTATAAAGCGAGAAAGAGAGAAAGACAAAAGAAAACTGGGCAAGGGAAGATCGTATTTTGTATAATCATAAGTGTATAAGACGAAAATATATGCATTTGTATTTGTATATACAATTTTCTCTCACTTTATACAAACATAAATGTAATGTATACACTTGTGCTTGTATAAAGTGAGAGAGGCGAGCGAGATCTGGGAGAGGTGAGAGAGGAGAACGAAAAAATATGTATATATACAATTTTCTCTCGCTTTATACAAACACAAACGCATTTTATACATTTGTGTTTGTATAAAAGCGAGAGAGGCGAGGGAGACTGCTAGCGAGAACGAGAGTGGCGAACGAGATTCACCAGGAGAGAGGCGAAATAGCAACAGTTTGCTATGTGATACAATTAAATCAAACTATATTTATAAGTTATAACATCAAGATATGTCAAAAGTGAAAGGTAAAAATGAAAACCTATTTTAAGAATAAGTGATAAGTAAAAGTGAACGAAAGGAATATTTCCTAGCGAGGAACCACTTGACATGAAGTTGTACAATATAGAGTGGGATTTTACAAGAATTTATGATTCTTTATTATTTTTGGTTAGAGGCAAACTCAAGATATAAATTTAATTAGTTGAATCTTTAAATTTTTTAGCATTATACTCATTGTACTTTAAAAATTATGGTTCAAATTTAATATTTATTAAAGTTTTTATATAATTTTCAATATTAACATACATTATATTTATACTCCTTTTCGAAAATATGTGGGTTGAGTGACACATGAATTGCATCTGTTACTATTATTATATATTATCTTTTAATGATATATATATATATATATATATATTAAAAATTAAAAATTAAATTATTTTCTCGTAAATTTCTGTGATGATAGAAATTTACATCATAACTTGGGAAAACAACAAACTACTTTCTTTTGTGTTATCGTCCTTGCATGCTGGACTTTTTTTCTCAATCATTAGTCGTAAAAGTTTTACAAAAACACGTCAATTTTTCTAAATTGATGTGACATTTTCCTTTTAATATTTCTCGCAACAATTATTTTTGGCAAATATCTATCACATATAGAGTATTATAATATTATCGTTATATTTTAATTATAATAATAAGAATAATAAAATAATTGTTAATAAGGTTTGAAAATTAAATGGTAGTGATTCAAGTTATTTTAATTGAGTGTAGGTGACAATTTTAATTGACACTTCTCGTCAATGATTTCGTCTTGTCCAAAACTCAATTTTAATTGACACTTCTTGTCTATAATTTTATCGTGTCCAGAATTTAATTTTAATTGATACTTCTTGTCAATAATTTTGTCATGTCCAAAATTCCATGAAGAAAGAGAAGAAAAAAACACGTCAATTTTTCTAAATTAATGTGACATTTTTCTGTTAATATTTCTCTCAACAATTTTTGTCAAATATCTATAATATAATATACGGATCATTAACATAAAATAGGGCGTGAAAGAATTTTTCGGTGTGTAAGTGTGAGTAATATTTACAGTAAACTTGGTAAAATCATTAGCGCTTAAAATACTTTATTTTTTTTTAGGAAATGATATTTAAAAATTGAATTTTTAAAAAAATGATATTATTAGATCTCCCATGTATGAAAATAAAAATCTCTTATAAAAATAACATCAAGAACTAAAAGTAAATTCATGTACTATAGCATACGAAAACAAGTCATGATCACGTATCACTAAAAATTCATGTACTATAGCACACGAAAACAAGTCATGATCACGTATCACCAAAAATTCATGTACTATAGCACATGAAAACGTTAAATTTGATCTTCCTCCGCATTGGGATTTGTTTGAACTTGAAAATTGGTCTGTTTGCCCCTCGGGACCAACTCATGTCATTAATAAGGTCGTAACGGACGTCCATGAAATTTTTTGGCCAAAAATAAGTCGGGATCATGTATCACCAAATATCCATGGATTATAATACACGAAAACGGTTAATTCGGTTTTTTCCGCAGTGAGGCTCGTTTGAGTTAGAAAACGTGTATGTTTGCCCCTTGGGACCAACTCATGCCATTAATATGGTCGTAATGGACGTCCATGAAAAATTTCTGCCAAAACAAATCGTGATCACGTATCACCAAAAATTCATGGACTATAATACACAAAAAACAATAAATTTGATTTTTTCCACATAATGGACAACTATTATTAGAGGGAGGGAGTAACAAATTTGTATAGCCACCTATATTTTTTGACATGCCTAAGAATACAATTTATAAAAAAATTTAATTATATGAATGATGTGACACGATTAATAAATATTGCATTTATAAAGGAAAAAACATTAGCAAAATTGCTAACATGACTATCGACATGGGTTGTGGTGCACTGGTGAGAGTGTTTCACCCTTAACCAGAGGTCTCGGGTTCGAGTCCTGGGTATGGAGAAAATCTTGTTGGGAGTGCCACCCCCGAATTGGCGCTGCAGAGCGCGATTCGAATTTAATCGGAGCTCCAATATGGACTTTGGACACCGAGTGGAAAGCCAAAAAAAAATAATCTAACATGACTTATTCCCTATCTGGTCAATAGTCAGCCACTTCACACTAGAGGATGTTGTAGATTAGCACGTATTTAAGATTTAAAATTTGTGAATTTTTATATTAATTTTAAACTAATAGATAATAATAATAATAATGAAATTCATGATTAAATATATATAAATATTTTATAAATTTCTTAATACAAATGATAAATGTTATTCTATATTTTTAAGGTTACAAGTTTCAAAAATTTGTAGTTATCCAAATATTATCATATTTAAGATTACATATTTCAAAAATATTTATTTCTTAAGTTCCTAAACTTCATATCAAAATAAATTTACATAAATTGAAACTGAGGAGACATCAAACATATTTATCAATATCAATATTTTATTAAAAAAAATATTATTTGGTCACCTAAAATATTTAACTTGTGGTCGGATTAAATTTAAATTTACGGTCCAATTTTGGAGAACAATAGGATTGTTTTCATTCTCAAAGGTTTACTTTTAATGAAGGGCAGAGAAAAGTCCAACTATTTCTGTCCACTCAAATCCTGAAACTATATTATATATATAATATATAATATAATAATCTCTCACCCATAATCATATACTTACTAGTTTGAGCCATGGCCTTTTTGTATGCTAATATTTTCTTATTTTTGTTCCTCCAACTAATCATCTTCTCTAATGGCCAAAATATTACAATTAAGGGAGGTTACTGGCTAAGGGAGAGTGAATTATCCTTAGACAAAATTGATATAACTCCTTTCTCTCATTTATTTTGTGGATTTGCTGATATTAATTCCCAATCCAATCAATTAATTCTCACTTCACCAAATTCATCATTCATACAATTTACAAGCATAGTCCAACAAAAAAATCCTACTGCAAAAACATTATTGTCAATAGGTGGAGGAGGTTCAAATAAAACAACATATGGAGTTATGGCTACAACATCAAATTCAAGAAAAAGTTTTATTGATTCATCAATAAAATTAGCTAGACAATTGGGATTTCATGGTCTTGATCTTAGTTGGATATTTCCAGAATCTGCTTCAGACATGGCAAATTTAGGTACTGTACGTGTCGTCATCTCATCTATGAGTTTCATTTGCTAGAGATAAATGATTGATGAGATATTTGTCTGCTTTGATATTATTTTTAATTAGTTAATTTCTCATATAGTCACTCAACTAATAGTTATTATCTTATAAAGTCATTTTTTTCAAGGAGATTGAATTAAGCATTAGTTGAGTTGCTATATAAAAAATCAACACAATTTTGAATTGTATGACCTTACTTTCATATCTTAAAACATCTATATTACTCCCTCTATCCAACAATAGTTGTGCACTATTCTAAAAATAGTTGTCCAGTTTAAAAAATCAAGAAATAATTTACCTTTTGTGTCTATTTTACCCTTGCTATGAAATACTCCTATTTATCATCTAACACATTTCTCAAAACATTAAATTTAACAAAGTCAAAGGATAAAATAGTAATATTACCCCTATTGTTTATTACTCTCTCCGTCCTTTTTTATATATCATCCCTTTCTATAAATAGTTGGTCCATAATACTTGTCATTTCATAAAATCAATGCATAAATGACCATATTATTCCTTTTTACCCTTGTGAGTTATTAGCCTTGAAAATATACATTTGACCAACTTAGAAAAGCTAAGTAAATGATTTATGTTCATCGATTAAATGAATTAATCAAATAAATACATTTCAACATGTAGGCCCTTTGTTGGAGATTATTGTTATTCAGGAAATACTTGGATTAGTTACGATGATATTCAAAGTGTCAGGACTAAAGTTTCTTATATTAAAAGCAGAGAATTGCTTGGTTACTATGCATTTGATATTTCAGGAGACACTAATTGGAATTCTCTTCTTTCTCATGCTGCTTCACAAGGTATAAATTAACTCCATTTCACGATTATCTTCATATATATATATATATATATATATATATATATATATATATATATATATATATATTTATTTATTTATTAAAAAACGATACGTACACGATTTAGATTTAACTTTGAGGATGCACATATTTAGATATTTTTACTCTGTCAGTTGAATATTTCAACTTAAAAAGTGATTATCTAGTACCTCTAAAATTATGTGTCACGTCAGTGTCTAATGTTCACGAATAAAGACAAATTTAGGATTTCTAGAACATGAGTACACCACTAAAAAAATAAAGTAAAATGTGTATTAAGTGAGAATTGATTTCTAAGTAAACAACTCAACATATATTCCACCAAATGCACCATTTATTGTTCTTACAGCATAAATGTCAACAAATAATATTATATCAGTTTTAAAAAATATTACAGAGTAACCACAAGTTCACGTGACCCATTTTAGGATATAAATATGTTGCTCTTCACAAATTAAAGTATCTAGATGTGCAGTGTTTGCTTGCTAACAAAAATCATGTTTGAGTGTCGATCTATGTATTATATCTGCAATTAATTTATGATTGACTCAAATATTTGTGTTTTTTTTTCTCTTATTATTTTTTTAATTTAGAAGCTGGTGGAGTGACACAAGGAGAAATTGTGAAGAATAAGAAAAAACTCAATCGACTAGTTATCATTTTGATTCCAATTGGTGCACTACTAATATTGATATTGCTAGTGTTTATAATTTGGTATCTTCGATGGAGACAAGTACCTAATTTTCAAGGTAATTACTCTTTCCGATTAATTTTACGTGAAGATATTATCATTAAAAAGTCAAACATATATATATTTTTTACTCTAATATTTTCAGATATTTTAAGAATATGTGAAATTATTATTAACTGAATTTAGGAGTGTTATTAATATTCTTCTTTTTATTTTTATTTTTTTATATTAGAGTTAGAGAGGAACCAAAGGAACAAAATGGGAAGTAGAAATAAAGCAAGAAAAAGTGGAGATAATAGCAATTTGCAAGTTTTTAGTTTTGATGAGATGAAGGAAGCTACAAATAATTTTTCATTTGAAAATAAGCTTGGAGAAGGTGGATATGGACCAGTTTATGAGGTAAATTCCATCGATATTTATATTAAATCAATAAATATAAATATTTAATTTTCATATATATTTATTTTTTGTTTAGTTTTTTTTAATTAAAAATTATTGGGTAAAAATATATTTTGAGTCTTGAATATGAAGAAAAGATGACATTGACCAAGTCAATAATAACTAGGAGTAAATGATAATTGAATAATTGGGGTTATAAATATTAAGGATAAAATAAAATTAAACATGATAAAATACGATATTATATTTTAAACTAACTAAATGAAATTAATGACGGGACACTAGAAGATGAATTTACTAATAGGAGTTGTTAACTCGATACAATCCTTAAAGAATTTTTTTATTAGGAGCAGGAACGGAGCTAGCAAGAACTGATGTTTATTCAAATTTTATTCACAAAAAATTACACTATTTATATGATTAAAATTATTTTTTGTTTATATATAGTAGATGTTGAACCTCTTTCGGCTTCTTGTGTTTACTTCTTCATATTTTAAACTCTAAATAAAAATCACAACTACGCCAATGATTAGGAATGAATTTTATTAAAATAACTTAACTAATAATACTTTGAAATTATAAATTTGACTACTACTACTTTATATACCTATTTAATATTAAGTGTAATATTAAAACAAAAGTAATAAAACTCTCTTAATTTGATAAAATAGATAAGTATATAAGAAAAAAATATCTTTAATAAAAGGGCCAAATAAAATGAAACGGGCAGCAGTAAATAAGAATTTTTTTTTTAAAAAAAAGTATAAGATATATGCTCAATAATAAAAATCTTTAGGTTGCATTTGGTCAAATTTATCTTTATATCTACTTCTTCGTAATAATGCTTTAATCTTCTCAAAATTTTGAATTTGCTTCTAAATCCAATTAGGGAAAGTTGAAGAATGGGGAAAAAATAGCAGTGAAAAGGCTATCAGAGACTTCATCTCAAGGATTGGAAGAATTTGAAAATGAAGTGATTCTTACGGCAAAATTACAACATATAAATCTTGTAAAAGTTGTGGGATTTTGCATTGAAAATGAAGAAAAAATGTTGATTTATGAATATATGCCCAACAAGAGCTTGGATTACTACATTTATAGTAAGTCATTCTTTTCCCTTCTTTTTTTCATGTTATTTTGAGTTTAATTTTTATACATCATAATTTTTTTTTTACATTATTGTATAATTTAAAAGACAACGATTGTGCAGAGAAATGTAAAAATCGTATGGGCTATCTATGCATTTATTAAAAAAATAATCAGTATTTGAAAATTCGTTAAATAATTGACTATTTTTTTTATGATATTATTAGAATATGTGGCTATTTAAAATTAGAAGTCGTGAGAATGATTTTTATCTTTCAATTTTACCCTAAATTAATTTTATATTATCAGGTTACATTTACAAACATGTAGCTTGCCTTGTTTTAACGATTACATATTTCATTTCTCATGAAGGGTTACAATAGGGATCTTTTGGATGGCTTGATAATGTTAAATTTCTTCACGCTAAAGATATTTTTTGGTAATTAATGTGTGTGGGTGGGTGGGGGTGGGGGTGGGGTGGCGGGGGTGGGGGGTGGGGGGGTGGTAAATAACTGTGCTTAGCCCCCACCCATCTATTATGCACATTAAGTGGTGAAGATTGTTATTCGTTGTCACGGAACCTACTTGATTCGTTGTAGACTGCTTTCAAACCCTACCGAACTAAGAGTCTCGCTTTAGTCTAGCTATCGCATAGGGGTAACTGGCTGGCAGAGCTATGCTGCTTCGAGTTTCGCATGGCTAATGGCTAATGCTATACCATGACACTATGTTGTGCCTACACTAACGTGACTTACAAACAACGCTGGCGCTATATAACCATATAGGCAAAACTCGGACCACCTCCCTTCGCTTCAGAGTCTTAGCACAAAAAGTTCATTATATTATCATTTAATATAAAGTATTAATTAACATCTCTTTTTATTTTTTATTTTTTAATTGACCTCCTTCTTTCTTTAATTGACAGGCACATGAGATCAAACTCCAATTTTCTATATACTAACAATTTGTATTTATATGTTTTTTGATCAACTTGATTTGTATTTCCACATGTAGATCAAGTGAGAAGATTAGTTCTAAATTGGGAAAAAAGAGTGCAAATAATTGAAGGCATTATTCAAGGGCTATTATACCTCCAAGAATATTCAAGATTAACAATTATCCATAGGGATATAAAAGCCAGCAATATTCTATTGGACTTACAAATGAAACCAAAGATTTCTGATTTTGGAATGGCAAGAATGTTTAAGGAGGATGAAGTTGAAGCAAATACAAGCAGAATAGTTGGAACAAAGTAAGTATTATTTATATTCATATAATTTGGAATGAAATCTAATTATATACATTCATTAAAAAAAAATATTCAGTATCATGTTCACATAGGGCTTAGGAAAGGGTCAATGCATTAAAAGATGTGTTGTAGGGAGTTTATCCTGAAACTAACATGTAACATCAACGACTGATTCCACAACTCGAATCTTAATAATTATATTCTTTACTAATATTATTCATTTAATTTGTAATGTGTTGTAGGGGTTATATTCCACCTGAATATGCAATTGAAGGCAGATATTCAACAAAATCTGATGTTTTCAGTTTTGGAGTACTTCTTCTTCAAATCATAAGTGGAAAAAAGAATACATGTCTATATGGTCCAGATGACAACTTAAACCTTCTTGAATATGTGAGTTGTGATAACTTCACCTATTATATTGAGATTTTTAATAACTTAATATAAGAAAAAAAATACTTACTAAAATATCAGAAAATAAGTAAGAAATATTTTCTTCCCTACTAAACACACCTTATATGAGATTAATAACCTGAAAATAAGACAAATATAGATAAAAATTACACTGATAATGCATTATTTTTTATTTATTATTATTATTATTGATAATTTATTTAAAAATAATAATACAGGCATTTGAGATGTGGAAAGATGGTAAAGACATGGAATTTATGGATCAATCACTTGATGATACAACACATTCTTGTAAACTATTGAAATGCATGCAAATTGCATTATTATGTGTCCAAAAAAATCCATTGGATAGGCCTACAATGTTGGAAATTTCATCTATGTTAAAAAATATTGAAAATTTAGTTATGAGTTCCCCTAAGAGGCCTGCATTTTCTACAAGACAAGATGAAGATCAAGTTGGCAATATTCCAAATGGGGAATTAGACATTGACAATGCAACAATTACACAATTGGTTGCAAGATGATATATGCTACTCTTTGCCATGTATTTAATCTGATTAGCAGGTAATTTGTCTTATTTTAGAAATTATGAATCCCAATTATTTATGGATGTTGACTACCTTGTCGTATTTATTGGTGATTTGATTAATTTAAATTTGGGAAACTTAAAGAAATCACACTAGTTTAGGAGCTAATTATTTAGATACACTCTAATTTACAATATTACGAACATTACCAGATTTTGGTGCGTCCAGATACATGTATATTGGGATATATGGGTCAAACTAGAAACAAACCTTGGTCGTGGCTTGTGCTGAAATATTTGCAAGAACAAAAGAGAGATTTACAACACATAAAAGTAACAAAGATTTAACAATTAAATAATGTGAAATTAGGCAAAGGTCAGTAAGAAGCTTGAACTAGACTTGGTAGGGTGCGCCAGGCCCGTGCAGTAGTGCAATGCATGGGCGACGTGTGAAGGTCCATGTAGCAAGCTACTTCGATAGACCTTCCCCTTAAAAAAATAGAGTTAATATCGTGTGAGTCAATGACTCACATATCAGATATTAAGCTAATAAAAACAGATACTACACTTGATCTTAGCCAAAAGGCCGAGAAAGGTATGCTTTAATTAGTGCTCAGCCTACAGCTTTTATACTTACTTCTCTTCTTTGAAGAAATGCAGGGTAAGGTTGCGTACAATAGACCCTTCTGGTCCGATCCTTCCTCATATCCTGCTCGAGCATAGCGAGAGTTTAGTGCACCAGTCTGTCTCCATTTTGTAATATTAGAGGGATGAAACATAACTCTAGATGTATACTTAAGGGACTATCTTGATATTTTTCTCAACATGACAGGTAGGCATTACCAATTGACTAAATAAATATATGGATAACCATATTTTGGTATGAGTAGAAAAAGTCAGTTTATGACTTCATAACATTTATGATATTATATAGTATTATATACTCTATATAGACAAACCTGTATGGAGCTTTAAATACTTCTTAATTACAAGTTCTAGAAGGAGTCAGAGAAATTTATGAGCCATCCGGGATTGAATCCTTATCTCTCATGTACTTTATCGACCACTAGACCAAATCACTGAGGTGATGGGTGTCTAGTCATTTATATATAGAGTCGCAACCATCTGAATTTTTCCTGTTTGAATGTCAAAGATACTCATAGCACGATCAAACTGTCAGTCAAACAAAAACAATAGAGTTGACATTTAACATATATGCACACAAAATTGCCTAACTATGATGCAAGCTGCATAATGATTTGACAATCAATGAGGCTGGATTTTATTACTTATTCTAGAAGGAGTCAAGGAGATGTTCATGAGCAACCCAGGATTTGAATCCTAGATCAAATCACTGGGGTGACGAATGTCTAGTCATTTATATATAGAGTCGCAATCATCTGAATTTATCAAGTTTGAATGTCAAAGATACTCCTAGCGCGATCAAACCGTCAGTCAAACAGAAAAAATAGAGTTGACATTTAACATATACACACACAAAGTTGCCTAACTATGAATGCAAGCTGCGTAATGATTTGACGATCAATGATGCTGGGTTTTGTTACTTGTTCTAGAAGGAGTCAAGGAAGATATTTCATACCTCAAGTATATAAAATCTTGTGAATTATTCCTTCATTCCTCAAGTACTTATTATTTTTGTGCAGATCATGGGCTGTCTATTTCTTCTTCTTCTTCTTCTTGTGTTGCAATATCCACTAGTTATCTTTTCAAGTCATCTATGTCGACAAGACGAGAGTTTGGTTTTGCAAAACCTGAAGCTTAAACTGTCCATAGATGACTCTGCTTCTGCTGATTGTGAATCCAATGGTTACTTTCCCTATCCAAAGACACTTTCTTGGAATAGAACCACTGATTGTTGTACTTGGGATGGTGTAACATGTGATAAAGTTACAGGTCGAATAACTCGTCTTGATCTTAGTTGTAGCCAACTTCATGGAACAATTGACTCCAACAGCACCCTCTTCCAACTTTCTCATCTTCAAAACCTTAATTTAGCTTACAATGATTTCTCACCTTCCCAAATTTCAAGCAAATTTGGATGGTTTCCGAGTTTGACACATCTTAATCTATCGCGTTCTGGTTTTTCAGGGACAGTACCTTTACAAGTCTCATATCTATCTAAGTTGATATCACTTGATCTTTCTGCAGGTATTGAGGAGTTGAGAGTTGAGCCTCACACTTTCAAAATGCTCCTTCAAAACTTAACTCAACTAAGGGAGCTTTACCTCACCTCAACATATATATCTTCATCACTTCCATCAAACTTGTCCTCTTCCTTACAAGAGCTGAATCTTGTCGGAACGGAATTGTCTGGGAAAATCCCTGATGACATTTTCCATTTACCAAGATTGCAAATGCTTAACTTAGGGAGCAACTTGTATCTCACAGGGCATTTGCCAACAACTCAATGGAACTGCAGCAACTCTTTAAGGGAATTAGATCTTTCTTCCTCAGGCTTTTCGGGGAATATACCAGATTCTATTGGTCATCTCAACTCTTTAAGGAAATTAGATATATCAGGCTGCTACTTCTCTGGTAACATTCCTCCAACTATCGGTGATCTCACCGAGCTCACGAGTTTGCAACTCTTCTCCAACAACTTCAATGGTCAACTACCATCAACAATCGTAAAGCTGGTGCAACTTGTTGAGTTTGAAATCTCATCTAACAACCTTACAGGCAACATTCCAAATATTTTCGGTAACTTCACCAAGCTCAAATCTTTATCCTTTTCATATAACCTCTTTATGGGCCTTTTTCCATCCTCGGTTACAAACCTAACAGAGCTAGAGAGTTTAGACCTCTCAAATTGTTCTATAACTGGTCCTATTCCTTCTAGCGTCAGCACCGGATTCCCTAACCTCATCTTACTCTTCCTACCATATAACTCCCTTAGCGGAGAAATACCATCTTGGATATTCAATCTTCCTTCCTTAAAATACTTAGTTTTGAGAGGCAATCAACTTGCTGGTCAACTTAAGGAAGTTAGATACAACTTGTTAGAAGTTGTTGATGTCGGTGACAATAAGCTGAATGGACTTATTCCAACATCATTCTCTAAACTAGTGAACTTGACAACACTTGATCTTTCTACAAACAACCTTTCTGGTGGTCTAGATATTGGGCTGTTTTCAAAATGCAAACAACTTCGACGTCTTGGCCTTTCTTTTAACAATCTGTCTGTATTTTCCAGTCAAAAAGATGCATCCTTGCCTAGTTCTCTTGGAAGTTTGTATGCATCTTCTTGCAACATAAGGGAGTTAAATTTCCTACGAGCTGCAAAATACATTGGTAACTTAGATCTTTCCAACAACAACATGCATGGAAAAATTCCTGATTGGGCATGGTCTAATTGGCAAGTCTCAGTGTCTTATTTGAATCTTTCTAGCAACTTTCTAACGGCTATTGACCTGCTTCATAACTTTGAGAGTCTTTACAATCTTGATATTGGATCTAATTTGTTTCAAGGAGAATTACCTGCTCCACCTCCCTTATTGTTCCTCTTCATAGCCTCGAACAATAACTTCACCGGGAAGTTACCTAATTCACCATTATGCAAAATGAGTTCCCTTTTGATTCTTGATTTGTCCAATAACAGCCTGAGTGGAGTAATTCCAAAATGTTTAGTGAACATGAGCACAAGTCTCTCAGTGTTGGACCTGCACAACAATCATTTTAGTGGGACAATTCCAAATAACTTTGGTAAGGGAAGTAGTCTGAGAAGTCTCAATTTGCGGAAAAATAAACTAGAAGGAATGTTACCAAGAAAGCTTACCAATTGCAGAGGGCTCGAAGTAGTTGATCTCGGAGAAAACTTGTTGAATGATACATTTCCCAAATGGTTAGGATCACTTCCTAGGCTGCAAGTTCTCAGTTTGAGATCCAATAAATTACATGGCCCGATTACCATTTCAAGAAACCAAGTCTTATTCTCAAAGCTGAAAATCCTTGATCTCTCTTATAATGACTTCACTGGAAACCTGTCAGAAAGGTTTTTCAACAACTTGAAATCCATGATAATAGAAGATCAAACGGGAATTCCTTTAACGTATATTGGAGAAGTTCGATACCATGATTCCTTGACATTGTCTATAAAAGGACAGCAGATTGAACTTGTGAGGATTCTTTCTATCTTCACAACCATTGATTTCTCAAATAACAGATTTAAAGGTAATGTACCAAACTCCATTGGAAATCTTGGTTCACTTCGCGGGTTGAATTTGTCACACAACAGCCTTCTTGGACCTATACCTCAGTCTTTTGGAAATTTATCTGTTCTTGAGTCGTTAGACCTTTCGTGGAACCAACTTTCTGGGAACATTCCTCAAGAAGTTGCTTCACTGAAATCTCTTGCTGTCATGAATCTCTCACAGAACCACCTGATGGGACGCATACCTAGAGGTCCACAGCTTGATACATTTGAAAATGACTCATATTCAGGAAATGCTGGATTATGCGGATTTCCCTTGTCAAGAAACTGCGGAGATAATGAGATGCCTCCTTCTACTGTGACTGATATTGAAGACGAAGAAGATTCAGGTTTTATGGATTGGAGAGCTGCGATAATAGGATGTGGTTGTGGATCAGTGTTTGGGATGTTTATAGTATATATCATTTTCTTAACAGGGAGACCAAAATGGTTTGTGAGAATTGTCAACCAACAGATCAACAGGATCCTTTTGAAAATTGAGGCAAAGAGAAGAATTGAGGCAAAAAAGAGAAGACGGCAGAAAAGAAGAAGGATGAAGTTTTAGTATATACTTCGTGCATTATTGTCTTGCAACATACACAGTTTCAGCTTACACCTTGTTTTGGCTGGTTGTTACCTGTTGTATTATATTGTATTGTTAGTTTTAATACCATGTTTGTGTTGATTGATACTTAAATTATTGTTTTTTATTGTTAAAATTCATTTGTTAGATAATGACGAAAATTTCCATTTGTCATTACCTTATAGCTACACCTCGTATCCTACTTTCTTGTAGGTTTATCATTCAAATTATTGATGTGTGACATAATGTATTGATGGAGAACAATACAATATATTCAAACATTGTAGTCACTAAAACAACCCTCAAGACAATACGATACATTATGAAAAAAATACATAACCACCATATCCAAACAGAGTGTGTTAATGTTTCTGTTGTTATTATTGTTTCTAAACTAGGTATCTTTGTATTTACTGGTAAAGTTTTTTAAAAAAGAGATAAAGATTTATCAGTTTATAATGTGGAATCAGACAAAGGCTCAAATACATTTGAACTAGATTTGGTGGGGTGCGCCAGGCCCGTGCAGTAGTGCAACGCATGGGCGACGTGCAAAGACCCAGGTAGCAAGCTACCTTGATAGATCTTCCCCTCTTAAAAAATAGAGTTAATATCGTGTGAGTCGATGACTCACATATCAGATATTAAACTGATAAGAACAGATACTACACTTGATCTTAGCCAAAAGGCCGAGAAAGGTATGCTTTAATCAAGGCTCGGCCTGCCGCTTTTATACGACTTCTCTCCTTTCTAACTTTTGTTAGTTCTCAATGTGCGATTCCTTGATAAGGTTATGTTTCATTTCTATGCACAACAGGACTAATATATGAGACTCCCATATTAAATGTTCTCTACTCCCACAGTACATGACTTAAAGGTGAATAAAACTGATCTGGTCGCCTTTCTACGGAGAGCTTCGGAATTTTCATAGGCAAATGGTTCAAATGAAATTTTTCAATCTCTTTTATTCATCCAAATCATATCTTGCATTAGAGGCCCATTTCGTGCAAGACCAGTAACGATAGTGTCCAAGAAACCTCATTTCTCCATGGCACCGCATTAAACAATTCCAAAGCTTTATCCTCCCTGTTATCCTTTAAACAACCTTGAATCATAACATTCCAAGAATACAAATTACGTTCTGGCATCTTATCAAATAGCTCAAGAGCTTGATCGACTTTATATGCACAACAGGAGAACAGAAGAGTATTAACTCGTTTACACACCTCAAGCAAGGATTTATGATAGAGAAATGTACATATGTGATTTTCTTTTGCATCAACAAAGAAATGTTTACATGTGCATTTTGTTAGTATAACCAAAAAAAAAAAATCTCTTTCTCGAGAGAGTCAGTTGGTGCACGGTTCGAAACTCAATGGATAATGAGTCCCAAAGTTTACCCTCAGCTAGTGCCGAACCTGTATAGGGGCTTCTAGCTCCGTTCACAGATGAGCAATGGAAGGGGCTAGAAGGTGGTCAGAGTGAACTAACATTTGAATAGGAGTGTAATCTAGTCGCCTGACCTGGTCACCTTTCTGCATTGAGCTTTAGAACTTACATTAGCGAATGGTTTAAATTAAATTCTTCAATCCCTGGTTTTCGATGCATCTCTTTGATTCATCTAAATCATCTTCTCTTGCATTAGAGGCAATAAATTTTCTTTAATAAGTGTGTAAATTTCCACTTTCTCAGGGTGAGACTTATCTCCCACAAAAAATATGTGATTTTTCCCATTGACTTCTATTTCACTGAAACCGGGTACCTTTTTCACTTTCCTCTCCTTCATTTTCTTTCTTACTTGAGCAAAATCACCCCATCTCCCAGAAGCCGCATAAGCGTTTGCCATTAGTACATAAGCCCCTGAGTTACCCGGTTCAAGCTCTACTATTTCATTGCAGATCTGATTAGCTACTCCAACATCTCCATACAACTTACAAGCGCCAAGTAAAGCTCCTAGAACAGCACCATCACGTTCCTCAGGAGGCATCTGGTGCACCACCCTTATAGCTTCATCAACTAACTTACCACGACCTAAAATGTCAACAAGGCAACAATAATGTTCTGCCCTCGGTTCTAAACCATAGGCATGCCTCATTGACTCGAAGAACTTTTGACCTTTCTTAACAAGACCAGCATGACTACAAGCTGACAAGAGTCCCACAAAAGTGATTTCATCTGGCTTGTTACCAGACCTTAACATCTGCGCGAAGGCTTGCAATGCTTGTTTGCCAAGACCATGATTAGCATATGCCAGTATTATTGCTGTCCACGAAACAACATCCTTTACTTTTAGATTCTCAAAAGTGATCAATGATGAGTTTATATCTCCACATCTGGAGTACATCGTGACAAGAGCGTTATTAAGTGAAGTGTTTTGGTCAAATCCTAGAAGTAAAACAAGAACATGAGCTTGCATTAATTCCAGGATGCCCCCACATGAGGTCACTACACTGGTAAGAGTAGTAGGATTCGGCCTTAAGCCCGACCGAAGCATGAGAATGAAACGCTTTAAGGCTTCACCGTCGAGGCCACTTTTAGCATACCCATCAATCATTACATTCCAACTTACAAGATCTTTATTAGACATCGAATCAAAAAGTTCGTTGGCCTTAGCCACTAGGCCTTCGTCAACATAAGCTGTTATCATGGCATTCCATGCAGCAGGATCCCTGTTTGGCATTTGATCAAAGTACTCTCTTGCCATTTCTATCATCTCATTTCGTGCAAGACCAGTAACAACAGTTGTCCAAGAAACCATATTTCTCCATGGCATTGCATTAAACAGTTCCAAAGCTTTCTCCACCCTGTTATCATTTAAACAGCCTTGAATCATAACATTCCAAGAATACAAATTACGCTCTGGCATCTTTTCAAATAGCTCAAGAGCTTGATCGACTTGATGATTTTCAACATAAGCCCTGATCATAGCCGTCCAAACAATGACATTTTTCTCAGAAACCTGATCGAAAATACATCGTGCCTCAGCAATCAAACCATTTTGAGCATACCCCACCATCGCTGTAGTCCACGTAACCACATTTTTCTCAGGCATTTGTTGAAGCAACTTTCGAGCCTCGTCCACTCTACGGTTCTGAAAATACCCAGAAATCAAACTGGTCCACGCATAAACATTTCTATCTGGCATCAAATCAAAGATTCTCCGACCCTCATCGATCCTCCCAGCTTTCGCGTAAGCATGAACCATAGCAGAATCAGACACTACATTCCTCTCAGGCATGGAATAAAACAATCTCTCTGCTTTAGGAAGATCCTTATGTTTAAGATAAACAGTAATCATCGAAGCATGAGAAACAACATCCCTTTGAGGCATTTCGTCGAACAATTGCCGTGCTTCTTTAACTTTGCCTTGACGGCCTAAATTCGTAATCATTTTATTGCAGCTAAAAATGGACTGTTTTTCCAAGTGGGGTTCTGATTTCATTTGCAATGGAATCTGTTTCTTGGGTTTTGAATATGTTCTTGAAAGGAATGGACAGTTCAGAAGGCGGCCATGATCATTACTTAGCAAATAATTTGAACCCCAAAATGTAAAAGAGTAGCTTATTTTAATCAAACTTCTGGGTTTATACATGATTTTTTGATAATAATTTCAAGCAGAAAGAGGAATTAAGCTATTTTTTGTATGAAAATTGTAGTAGTAGATGCACAGATTTAGAGATTGGAGCAGAAATTTAGAGGTTCATTTTCTTGGTAAGAAAGCTGAGAGGGAAATTTGAAAAAAACAGACATCTCAGAATAACAGAGGATAGTTATGTATAAGTTGGGCGGACGGGCCCGAGTTGGGAAAGTAGTCACCAAGTTTACGGGCTTGAGTTGTGTAAGCAGTCACTAAAGATTGCGTTACAATAGGTTATTATATCACACTTTTTGAAATGTCGCACTTCTTGAACTTTGCCTGAATATAAATATTTTGTGCATTATTGCATTATGATAGGTTGACTATATCACACTATTTGGAATGCGACCCTTTCTCGAACCCTCTACATTAATGTGAATGTTTTGTGCACCAAAATATCTTTATAGTAATGTACTAAGTTGTGGAGCAAGGAATTGTTTGATTATTCATTAGAATTAATATTAATTATGTAAAAATTAGTTAGATATGATTTAGTTATTTAATCTTTTACTCAATATTTGAACTTAAAATTGAAAGAGGCCGCACGGACGCAAACCCCCACTTCCACAAATTGTGACATAGGCTCAACCACTTGAGCCGACCTTAGGCTAACACCCCTCCAAGGTGCAATGAAGGTCACCAGCCTAGGCCATGGACCTTACTGATCATCCATTGCCCCTGTCCAGGTAATTATGTTATTCGGTCGCCCAGTCCAAATTTTATACCACTAACATTTGCTCATTCACTGTTCATATTGGCCGGTGTGGGATTAACTAATGAATATGGTTAATCACATATTATGTAGATGGTTTATCCCAACGTTAAATCAAGAGTCTTCCACAAAATACCATTATTACATGACTTAACTAATCTGTTTAATGCTAACTTTCATACTATTAATAAACCTAAGATAATTTATTCAAGTACATGGAAGGAGAGCCTTAGTGCAACCACTAATACTCACCGAAACCCTGCATGAACACGAACAAACCATACAGCGTACAAGACACACTGTTTCAACTAATTCGAATTCACACCTAAGAGGGCCTACTAAGGTGGGAATGTTTCCCCTCGTGAAAATATTCTCAACTCTCTCATGACTCAAACTCGAGAACGTGCACTAAAAAGGTGTATAACGACATCATTGACAGAGTGAACATCATAGAAACTATAGTGGGAAAGTTTATATTTCATATGATCATGACAAGGTACACAGGAGAGTAAGTAAAGTACATATATTAGATGAAGAAATATGAGCAATTTTGTGCTCATAGAGAGAATACAACTAGCATAAAGCTACAGAGTGGACAACAAAATTTGAGCTAGTGTGATGAAAACTTCATTTTTGTATTCAGTCTTTCCAACCAGCTTGGCGCGCTCTGCGTTCCCAAAGGTTAGTCAACTTCATTTCCTTGGCATACAACACGACAGCTCTTTCTCTCCCAACTTCACAAGTTTCCGTTGTAGCAATGCATTTCTCAGCCTCCTTTTGGTACTCGGTAGCTAACCTCCTCGCCTCCACAAAGGTGATGTTCATATGATGGACGTGCTCCTTGTCAACAGCCTCCTGCAGTTTCAGCTCTTCCGATAATAAATCCACAAACTGTTTCTCCATCTCCTCCTTAAGATCCGGATCATCTTTTCCGCAGTCTGTTGCCAATAGGAAACATTATACGATGTAGCATGTCATGATTTCAACAATCTTTTGCAGATGTTCTAGACTGTTGCTCGGACTATTCAAATATGCCTCCGGGTGTGTGTTGGATCCTCCAAAAGTAGTACTTTTTAGAGGATCCGACACGGGGCAGCAACATTTTTGGAGAGTCCGAGCAACATAGGTTCTAGATAACCAAGCTCCGAAGCAATACATGCAAGAGCAGTATGAATACATTTTTGAGTTTGTAATATGGAGAAGTGGAAGACACGCGGTAAGAGGAAATTACAACAAATATCTCTAAACTGTTTTTGTGACGAGGAACATACTTCTTGCATTGTAAATTACATATAGCATCTGCGAGCACGTTACTTAAACCAATGCAGCTTTTTTTCGTTTTGTTTCCCTTGTCTTTTCCACTCCTGAGACTTACTGGTTTTAGCACTATACACTCTATACTTGTTCATAACCGCATCTGAGGGTCCAAAATATGCTATAGGACGACAAGTTGCCTAAAAGTGTATTTAGGCGACGCATCTATATTAGGCTAATAGTCAGGCAGTGCTTATTTAATGAAGTAGCTTGGTTTAAGATCTAACGAATCGAATCTCAAAGTCAGAACTTACTTAAAGAAAAACTCAAATTCAATTCGATTCGATCAGATCATTCAGGAGGTTTAAGTATCCATCGTCAAGGTGAAATTCAAGTTAGGGAAGTTTATCACTATCATCTAATTAGCCTTCTTCTTAAGGACTACATGTTTTTGTATTCATCAGAAGGCCTTTCAGTATGCATAATCTTAGAAATAATTGTATTAAGGGAAGAAAAACTTCCAAGTTAACTCACGAAAACATGACACAACATTCTTTCTTGAAGAGAAGAAGAAAGGCTAAATAGTGAAGAGGGGTTCGAATAGAAAGCTCACCAGTAATTGTAAGATTCGCCAAGCCTGCACAAGCGGAAACCAAAAATAGGACAATGTTAGCTTAATTGGCATTGAAATTCCATCAACTGCACCTTATACATGATTATCTATAGACACTATCACAAAGAGATGAACTATCGAAAAAAGAAGACATCTCAAAACCAGCAATCAAGCAGCTATGTCACAGAGTTCAGTTTAACAGCTTGACCAGCTATATAAACATGAGTTTAAGTTTTATACACCGTCAATATAAATAATTCTTTACACCATCAGGTCATTCAAAGGTTATCTACACGTAAGCCTCCTTAAAATGTGAGATTTGAAAATAAGATACCTTACCTTTTACAACGGGTAATGATGACCTGATAGTGTAAAAATTATTTACATAGACGGTGCATATTACTTAAACTCTAGAAACAATAACCTTTTCAACAAAGTATAAGCAGCTAATGGTCATTACGATCATAAGCTTCGGAGCGTGATATATGCCCAAGTCTAAAAGCATAAAAGACGGCACTTGCACTATACAAGAATACGAAAGGACAAACGCAATGAAGAAGTCTCCAACAGCCATATAATGTGTTCTCTACTTAAATGTCATTTTAGGATCTTCAGACTCACATAGGGCACAAAATAACATTGCAACACCAAACAGATAAGCGAGTATGCAAGTATCCCATGCGAAAAGGAAAGGATTCCATTCCTAATGTCAGTTTACTAATAAATCACTACGTCCTCATTACATGTTTTATGTAAAGTTTGTTAATATCATTTATTAGTAAAAAAGAACAAATGAGGAGATTCAGTGCTTGGTACTTCTTCAGAATTACCTCTGCTTCTCAAGAAGAATCGAAAAGTTGATCCAGCACGGAGACTCTGCATGGTACTTTTTAAAAAGTACAATGTAGGATGGAAACTTCACGTCATGCTTTTAGAGGTATCGGAAAAGAACATATGCAACAATAAATCTTGCATGTAATTAAAGTTCTACATCCTTCAGCCCTTAGTTTTCAGCAAGGACGGATTCTTGAAACACTATAATAGCAATAACTATGCGTCAACCCAAAACTAGTAGTAGGTATCATCTACACAGATCCTTTTTCACTAAAATTAGAAGGAACTGTTAGTTCAACGGGACAGAAGGATTTCTCTCACTTTCTTCATAGTTAGCTTAATTATAGGGCTAGGAAAGTAGAAACTTGATGTGAGGCTTGATCAATAAACTCCAAAACCATGAAGGAAAAATGTTCTAAGATCGAGCAATAATCGTAAGATTAGCCATTTATTTTACATAAATAATGTCTTTATTCTTTTAGAAGCAAGACCTTCATCCCCACTTTTTGCTAGGCAACAAGTTTTTGATAAGGTGCATGAGGAACAAGATAGTTAATTTTTCTTTTAGGATAAAGAACAAGATACTTAATGAAAGCATTTGTTCATCTGTTTTGCTCCAGTGGGTTTAACCTAAACACAAAAGCAGAATACATCCTATCACGCACCTTCAATTTTTTATCAGCCTCCAGGACTAACCTCCTTTTTTATGAAACCAGCCTCCAAGATTAGCTTAAGGATTACATTGACTAAATACACTGTAGGCAGGATTAAAGAAACATTACTTCCTTAGACTTTAGTATGTTGTTACCACATAAGCAAAAAATCACATATTTACTAAGCTCATCTTTCATTGTTTGCTTAATTATGGGGACAAAAAGGTAGAAACTTAAGGTGAGACTTGATCAACATGCTCCAAAACCAGGAAGGAAAAATTGTAGCAGAGAGCTTTGTGCAAAAGTATGTAGCCACAACTCTCCTATTTCCTCAGAGCGTGTCAATCAAAGTTTCTCTTAAGCTTCTACTAAATCCTATCCGACCTCAATCTTTACTAAGCTCAAGCAATAATCATAAGATTACCAATTTATTTTATCTAAATAATGTCTGATTTTTTTAGAGGCAAAACCTTCATCCCCACTTTAAGCAAGGGGAACAAGTTTTTGATAAGGTACGAGGGGAGCAAGTTCGATATTTGATCAGCCTCGAAGTCTAGCATAACGGATTAGATCATTAGAGTGACCAAATCACATATTGCAGACAGGATTAAATATCCATTCACTTCCTAATCTTTTTTATTTACTTACTTCCACCTAGGAAAAAGTCATGCCTTCGAACACAATCAATGCTGCAAAAGAGATGGACCAGAAGGGTCTTTAGGCAAATCAAATCCAATAACATTGCTACAATCAGCTTTTCACTGACATCTTATCTTTGCAAGAACCAATTGGCTGAAACTTGGCAATCAAAGAGCAGGTTTTTTTTTGCAGCAGAAGATAACAGTGAACAAGACAATTAAGAGGTTACTTAATAAACTCTTCACATGCAATTGAAAATCTACAGTCAATCCAAAATTCTATAACCCACAATCCAACCTCAACCCGAGAAAATACCGAAAACAAGTACTGGTG